TAAAAAATAAAGAAATAAATAATAAATAAATAAAACCTCTCTGTTGAAACAGTTCCAGTTTTCCCTACTAATCTGGCCCAAACTGGTAACAGTCATATTGTTTTTATCCTAGAAAAAGATCATGTACAATGTAATTTTAGGTCAATTTCTTCTGGAGAATAAAAAAAGAGAGACTCAAAACTAAAGTTACTCAAAAAATATTTCTCACATATATAACACAGCTAGTTGTGTCCTTGACTAGATTCATAAGGTTCTTTGCCTTCTTATATATACATTTTTCACATTCAAAGGGATTTCTCATGCTTACCATGTCCTCTTTCCTTGCCCTGCATGGGTATGAATTGCTATCTATATTGGGAAATGCAACTGTACAGAGATGTTTATCATGTTGGCTCCATATATCCTAACATTTGTGGAAAATACATGGTTACTTGGATGTATATCTGCAGGTTTCATTTTCCATGGTGGGACAGAAGCATGGTCTAAAAATACAATTCAGTATTTATATCTTAGCCTGGATGAGGCAAATTTAAGAGTAATTTAAAAATATACCCCAAGCAAAATGAAAATTAAGAAGTAGAAATTTTCTAAATTTTTTTTTTAAAGATTTTATTTATTTATTTGACAGAGAGAGACACAGAGAGAGAGGGAACACAAGTAGGGGGAGGGGGAGAGGGAGAAGCAGGCCTCCCGCTGAGCAGGGAGCCCGATGTGGGGCTCGATCCCAGGACCCTGGGATCATGACCTGAGCCGAAGGCATATGCTTAACGACTGAGCCACCCAGGCGCCCCTAGAAATTTTCTAAATACAAAATAAATACATCTTCAAGGGAATGAACTCCTTTTAAGTGCCCATCACACCACATCTTGTCCCCAGAGCATAGCAGCTATTCTATATTCCTATGTGTAATTGGAATATTGTAATATTTTTAAGTGACAGTTTTTTTTAAATAATTAAACCATGTGGGTGTTTCTGTATATCACAAACTGCGACATGTGATTGACCTGATAATGATAAAAAATAATAATGGTTTTTTTAAGGAGTGTGTTTGAGATAGAGAAGGGCTGCAAAACTGACCAAGATATCAAATACTTTTACGATGAATACAAGCAAAAAGGACACCCTGCATGAATGGTGAATGTTGAACCTGCCCTAAGGGATTCAGAGGCTCTAACCTAACTAAATACAACATCCTGAGAGGTGAGAGTAGGAAAGCATGCTATTATATGTCACAGGAAACATTCTGATTCTGGTGTCTCATTCTCATGACAAAGGTGGCAACCAGACTAGAGAATGGCACAGCATGGATCCATCCTCCCGACAAAGACAGGAAGAAGAATGGAAAATAATGCAAAGTTAGCACCTTCTTGTTCAAATACATTGTAATCTTAGGGTCTTCCTCTCTTCCAGAAAGGATGTAAGACACTTAGTCCTGACAAAGTGTAACTGTGATCTAATAATTGCTAGAACTCCAGGCTTTAGAGAATTTCAGGGTTTTACAAATAGGAAGGCATACTATCACTCATAAGTGTTTTCACTTTCCCAGAGGGTTGTCTTGTTTTGTTTAGTTTTTGAAAAGGAAATATAATTGTTATACTACTGAATCATATAGAAAGTAGAACTGGGACTCCTCAAAATTTGTACTGTGGTAATCTTAGACTATTAGCAAGAGAAAATAATTTATGTTGGACAAAGACAGGAAAAAAACCTACACAAATCCTGTGGTTACAACATTTGCCATTGTAGCCAGTGGTCATACAGAACAAATAGCATGGCTCTTTCTATGTATGTACATATGTGTGTTCATGCTATTGTATATTTATGGATGAGAGATAAACTAGAGATTATAACAATAAAATCACTTTATAAAGGTCAGTAGAACAACTCATTGTTATATGTCATTAAAAATATTTTTCAAGGGTCAAAGCTCCACAGTTAAAGGAAACTAAAGAAATTGAAGATTTTTATGAGAAAAACTTGTAAGCAAATACTATTATCTGGGTATCCATTATGTTTTCTATAATAATTTGATCATTCCAAACTGTAATTAGGGAATTTCACCACAAATTCAGCAGGCTGTGACTCTTTCAAAACCTTATGGATGTGGACTTTCAAACCTTCATTCCAAAATATTTTTTTGCCATATTGAAATCTTAACTTCTGAAATAACATTTTGAGAAGTTCTAGTAGCAATTAAAAGAGGCTTTATATGCATTGATGTATTTAACTCTCTCATAACATCTCTACTTTACAAAGAAAAAACTAAGCACAGAGTCAAACATCTGTGTGGAGGAAGCTGGGATGGAATCTTACAGTTTTAAAACAAGGAGTGAAGTTGGCACTAACACAAAATATTTATCCTTTGAAACATATACTGTGTCATATACGTGTGGAGAAATTTAAATCTACTTTTCATATGGAAAAAAATAATGTGACAATTGTGTCTAACTTATTAATTAATAGAAATACGAGATCTAAGACATGACTTGCTGAAGGAGTTGTCAACAGACCGGGACTTTGTATATTATATACCTTCTACTTGTTTTTTGTTTTAAAGGACTCAGCTGTGGCTAAAACCCAGGTTGCTCAAAATGGGACATTAAGTATTTGGGTTCCTGTCCAACTAAGCTCTTTGTGTGAACATCTTAAAGGTCTCGTGATAGAGACAACAGCTAAACATATTGGAGTTACAGCTCCATCTTAAGACCTGCTCTCTCAAACGACTGGGCAGTGAAGCACTGTACAGTGTCCCAGAGGGAGGAAGAAACCACTCTGAAGAAAAAGCAAGCTCAAGTTCACTAGCTGAAGTCTAGTCAATAAAATGTCAGGGGAAAAACCTGAATGTCATGTAGTAGGTGGAGATCAGGCTGCATGCGGAGTTTAAGAAATTGAAATATTAAATTAAATAAAAATTTCATAGTCAATTTTATAGAAATATGTTCAGAATAAAGAGAGACCTCCAAAGTTAATAGTAGACTTGCAACACTTTCAGAATGTGTACATATATAGAAAAATGTCCACAATATTAACAAGAGCTAACATTTTTAGATGCTTACTCTGTGGTAGGCATCATTCTAAGTGCTTTTGTGCATTAAATCATCCTCACAATAGTTCTATGATGTAGAACTTATTATTAAAATTATATCATTT